ATTGTTCTCCACTTGTGTTATGATCACGTCACATTCGCGACACTTGTTGATCAGTGTGTTAAATCTATGATAAGTCTGTTCTAAAGACTCATCAGGAAGCGCCTGGAAACTATTGTCCTCATTTAAGCATTAAGCATGATGGTTTTTCCTCATTTTTATTCCCCCTTCCAGCTGGTTTGCCAATTGATCCCATAGATCTTTGGCAAAATCGCACGCGTCAAGAGATTGAAAAATCTCATTTGGAAGTGCCATGATCAAAAGCCTTTTGGCTTTCTGGTCCACCTCCACTTTGCGCTTGTCCTCATCGTCCCAATTGCGACGAAGCTTGGGAACCCTTGTAGCAGGAATTTCGACAGTATCGCCAACAGCAAGAATACGAGGAATTAAAGTAGTTGGAACATAAGGGCCATTTAAAATCGACTCATAGAGCTCGAGGTCAAAACCTTCATAAAAATTGATCATACATATTTTCCATTGGGGATATTCTTCCCTAATGAGTGTAGGAGGTTTTGTCAAGGATCCACCACTGTACATGGAGTTCCACGTTTGACTAGACATTTTTGTTTAAAAACATTGAAAAGAAGATTGACGACAAAGTGATAAGCGACGGAAAAATGAATACTAAAAGCAGACGTTTTTAAATATATCAAAATAAGAATGAAATTCCCTTTAAAAATTGAATAATCAGTAATTAAGAGTGGTATCCTGATGGATATCGATCGACTAATCAATGAGTTTGATTAGCAGGGTCTGATACCAATTGTTGGAACCCAAATACTCTTAATTCCCAGAAAAACACAGTTGACAAAGAATAAGATTGAAGTATGAACAGTGTACTGAGTACGATCAAACGAAATATTCAAAATATATAAGAACAGTAAAAGACTTGAATAAATCGGATGCTTTTATTAGATGAAAATAAGAACTTTCAATCTAAACGTATTCTCACAAGAATTATGCTATAGTATAAGTCGACACTCTCAGGTGATTTGAACCTGAGGAGGAAGCCTCCTTATATATGCCTAAGTCAAACAACTATGCTATAATTATGGCATGAATCTCTGAGTTGCCGAGTCCGCATCCTTATCTTTGACTACCCTTGAAAAGTAGAGCGGACTAAGTCAAGACTCCTTGATTTTGTTTGATGCTTGCGAGAATGTCTGGACTTACACATGCGTTCCATGAAGAAGGAGACCAGAGGTTCTGCATGTACTATACAGAAGCTCTGCATGTACTATGCAGAGGTTCTGCATGTACTATGCAGAGGCTCTGTGTCTGGAATGTAGCTTTGCATCAAGCGCTTAAACTTTTTGGCGCTTAAGGCTTGATCGTCCACGGAGATTGAGCGCGGCGCTCTGTATGTTGGAACCTTCACTCTTTGAGTAAGAACTCTGGTTCTTGACCTTTTCTGCATGAGAACTCTTAGTCCAGACTGCTTCAATAGACTAAGTCCTATTGACTAGAGTAAGAGACTTCTTACTTACACTTTCACAAGTTGGGGTCTAACAAATAATCATCTGGGACGAAGCATCGATGGCAAAGTGGCAAGCGGTGCAGGCGCTCGATCGAACAATGCAAGACATCATAGGGGTGGCACTCCCATTCAGCAGAAAGATAATGGTTTTAAAGGTTGCTTTTAGACAAGTATTACCGGTCGTGAGGCGTGGAAYCCGAGCACATATTGTAGATTCTAGCTTGCGGATGTCACGTCTTTGGTCAACGATAAACAAGATACGGTTGACGCTCAATATGAGAGCATGCACTAATCCATGGTTTTCAGAATTGTTATTAAGAGTCGATGATGGAGATAAAGAAGCGGTGGACGAAAGCTTTATTCACATACTGGATGACATGACTGTGACAATTGGGTTCTGGTTATCACCCGAGGTATTTATTTTGTGACTAATTATTTATGTGGATGCATATGCTTATATGTTAGGTATATAAATATGCATGAAAATATGATCATGTCTGTATGCATGAGTTATGTATATGGAATGTTATTTTAAGAATGCATGGGTGTATATATATATATATATATATATATATATATATATATATGCATGCATGCATTGGGTGGCAATCTGGAAAAAAAAGCATGCATGTATAAGGGTTGTGTAGGCGACCTCCCGTAATTAGAAAGTATAATTAAAGAGGATTGGGTATGAGGCAAGGTTTCTTGCCTCTTTGGGAAATTTAAGAGAAAAGGAGTTGTGATTCTTATTTGCTTAATTTGGACTGAAGAAATCGATTTGATCTTGTAATCTTCTTCAAATTTTGCATAAGGTAAGTTATTTTCAAAATATCGTTTGCAATACATTTTGCTACTGGTTATATTTTTGGGATTTGAAGATACTTTGAAAATATATTGCATCTTGTTCTTGAGCATATTCATTGGCTGAGTTTTATTAGTCACCAGTCATAGTGTTGACCGGATTGGGAGTGCCCGGACATAGGGTTAACTGGATTAGGTGATAGAATGTTTTAGCCAAGTCTGTTACTAGTCATTGTGTTGTCCGGTATGGTGGGTATCCGGACATAGGGTTGACCGGGTAAAAGTTTGACCGGTCACTTGACCAATATGGGACTTTATACTCGGACACTTTATTGTCCAGAGAATGATAAGTCCGGCTAATGTTTTGACCGGATAAGGGGTGGCTATTGGAAAACTGTTGTCCGGATATGTAATCCGGCCAAGCTTGTCCGGATAGCCTGTCCGGATATACATTATTCATACAAATTGTTTAGTGTTGAATCTTATATATATTGAGATTTTTACAATTTAACAATTTTCTTGGATATTAAATTTGGTATTGTGAAAAAGGGGTATTTTATATCTTTTAAACTGAAAAGATAATGTTTCTACCAAGCGTGGTGACGTAAGTTTGTTTTGGTATGATACTATATTTTGAGAAATATTCCTACCAAGTGTGGTGACGTAAGTCTGTTTTTCTATGGAACTGTATTTTGAGAAATGTATCTACCAAACGTGGTGAGGTAAGTCTGTTTTGGTATGAAACTTGTTTTTAAGAGGTCGTTCCCCAAGAGATGGTGACATTTGTCTGTTCTAGCTTGGAACTAGGTGATGGGTACTTCCAAACGTGGTGACTTATCTCGGTTCTGGCAAGTAGCCCTACTTTAATGAATGAATAAGGGTGGCATATCAAGGAAAGGTGTACCATGGAATAAGGGAGGCATTGTCATATATGGATACTATTATAGCTCTTGTTATTATCACAAGTTAGATACAATAACTCTAATTCATCATTTATTTGTGACTGGATGAATTAAAGATATTGTTCTTTTTAGAAATAATAATTTAGATGTTATTGAGAAAGGGAAAATGGCTTGTCATCAGAGGCATTTGTTGCCTAACTTACTATCAAAATTTGATACATACAGAGGGGCTCTGGTTGGTCTTGTACAAGGACCAGAGGACCTCTAGTTATGAAAAAATGGGGTTTTAAATAATTTGAGAATTTTATAAATTAAAGGCTCTATATGTTTCATACTGAAGCTCTGTATCTTAGTTCTGTGTTTTATTGTTTAAAAATTATCTTCTCTTCAAAAATATTTATAAATAGAGTTTAAGAATCAGAGGAGCTCTGATTCTAATTGAGAAATCCTTTTTAAGTTATATTATGCTCTTTTGGTCCAAAAGTTTCATTTGGTCCAGAGGACCTCTGGTTGGTCATTATTCACTTAGATACATAGGCTCTAGTTAGTAGAACCAAAGGCTCTGGTTGGTGAGGCAGAAGAGGCTCTGGTCTGTATTACCAGAGGGGCTCTGGTCTGTTGAGCCAGAGGGGTTCTGGCCCTTTAAGTTGAGAGTTTTAATTTGAGCTTGGGGTTTTAGAGAGGTGCATTTGAATCATGTGTTGAAGTAACTATTGATCTCGTTTTGATCATATTTTTAAATTACATTATTTTGCTAAAATGCAAATGCTTATGTGTAAAAGTTATTTTATCAGATTTTAGTGTTCATCACCCTGCATATGCGAAGAAGGGATTTACTTACTAGACCCTTCAGGTCTAACCTTCATTTTTGTGTTTTAAAATTGTGCAATGCAGGAACTGCGGGGTCAAGGGATATTAAAGGGAAAGGGAAAATGTAATTGTTTCCCTCTATATTATCTGCTTTTGAAGATCAGCATGATGATTGCTTATTTTGAAAATACATGTTGTTGTACATATGTTAGTGCGGGGATTTTATTTTGGAATTTTTCATATGTAGATTTTGTACATATAAGAATCCTTGTACTAGTGGGACCAATGTGGTGTAAACTGTACTTTTTTTTAAATGAAATATGTGTAATATGCAAATGTGGTGTTTGGGGGTGTCACAGAGTGGTATAAGAGCCTGAGTTTAAGATATTTAGGTATTCAAAGCATGATGCCTAGACTTAAACTGTCATTTGCATATTAAAGGTTCCGAACATAAATAGTATCACTTGAATAAAATATAATGGGTTAAAGAGGGCAGTATGTAAGGTGAATTCGAATAACAAATGGCCAATGTAATTGTGAATTTACAGGTACATACCTATATTCGGATACCTTATTATATTTGGGAATGTGGATACATGATATTTAATACTAAAATATTTGTAGATGGCTAGTCGATCAAAAAGATCTGAGAGGATCGCTCGTCATGAGTCTAAAGAAGGAGAGGAATCTCTTGTAAATCCTCCAACTAATACTTCTGGGATTCGAGGTCGGGGAAGAACCAGGGGTAGAGGCCAAGGGAGGAGTCAGGCCCCGGAAGAAGTCAGACTGAGATTCGTCCTGATCAAGAGGAATCTATTTCTGAAAATGTTAATCAGGAGCAGGGGCATCAATCCGAATTTATAACTAGAGATGATTTGGCGGAAGAGATGAGTAAACTAAGAGAGAGTCCGGTATCTATTATGGGATTGTCGGCTAGAATAGAAACTGAACGAGTTGGAATTAATCCTCCAGCTCCTTAAGTAGGCAGCAATAACAGGGGAAGGGATATAAAAATGTTTCTGACATGCAAACCTCCAACGTTTTCGGAAGAGAGAGATCCGGTAAAAGAAATGTGCTGGATAAAAGAAATTGAATCAGTATTTAACACCTGTAAGGGTTCAGAAGAAGATAATGTTATATTTGTAGTATTTATGCTGAAGTCTAATGCTTTATACTGGTGGGATGTAGAGTCAGCAACACAGCCAAATATTCTACAAACAATGCTTTGGGAAGAATTTGTTACCACATTTAAAACACAATTATGTCCTAAGACTACAATAAGGCAAATGAAAGGGGATTTTCTAAAATGGGAGCAGGGAAATAGGTTTGTACGGGATTATACTGAGAAGTTCATTGAGTATTCCCGTTTTATAGAACTTTATGTTTCTTTAGAATCCCGGAAGGTGGAAAGGTATATTTATGGTCTGAAACCTTCCATCAGGGAGTCTGTGATTGCTATGGACCCTGCTACATTCACTTTAGCCGTAAATGTTGCCGAGGTCATGGAAAGAAATAAGAACCGGCAAGGTGAAGAGAAAGTATTAGAGAAGCGAAAGTGAGACGGGTCTTTAGCCAGTTTTCGAAGACCCAAATTTATAAGGTCAGATAATCTCCCTTCACAACAGCCACCCGTTAGAGATTGTCCGCGGTGTCAACAGGTGCATCAAGGGAACTATCAGCCAGAGCCAAAGAAGTGTTATTGATGCGGTGAGGCAGGACATCTGTCAAGGGATTGCATTACACCCAAAATGGGTTTTCAGTGCAACTCACCTAACCATATTCGGCCGAATTGTCCACAGTTAAGAGCTCCTCATTTGACAATAGGAGCAAATGCTCCAAGTACCCGTGGAAGGCCTAGTGCACCGAGAGGAGACTAGAGTGGGGCGTAGGGCCGATCGTTCCAAATGACGAAGAATAAGGTTGAAGCAACACCGGATGTAGTAACAGGTACTTTTTTATAAACTCCGTGTCTACTAAGGTGCTATTTGATTTGGGTGCGAACTTTTTGTTCGTATCACCCTTATTTGTTGAAACTGCATGTATGACTTCTGTGCCACTTGACAATATATTAGTAGTTGATACTGCTAATAGTCAAGAATCTGTTTTATATGTGTTCAATAATTGTGTAATTGATATTAAGGGGTGTGGGCTACCGATCCTACTTTTCCTTATGCTGATGAAAGAATTCGACGTTGTGGTGGGAATGGAATGGTTAGCAAAGAATCGGGCTAGTATTCTGTGCAGCAAGAAAATGATCAGTATTGATCTACTGGAAAAAAGGACCGATTGTTATTTATGGTGATCGGGAGGATCACCATAATAACTTGTTATCGGTTCTGAAAGCCCGAAAATGTGTTCAGAAGGGATATCAGAGTTATTTGGCTTATGTGGTAGATTCAAGGAAAGAAAAGAGTAAACAAGAGTTGATTCCAGTTGTATGTGATTATCCAAAAATATTCTCGGAAGATTTGACTGGTCTACCGCCAGATAGATCTATTGAATTCATGATAGATCTGGTACCCGGGGCAGCGCAAGTGGCAAGAGCATCGTACCGGCTAGCACCGTCAGAGCTTAAAGAATTGGTTAGTCTGTTAAAGGATCTTCTTGATAAGGGTTTCATCAGACCAAGTACCCCACCTTGGGGTGCTCCGGTTCTGTTTGTCAAGAAGAAAGATGGATCAATGCGAATGTGCATTGATTATCGGGAGTTGAATAAACTGATAATTAAGAACAAGGGAAAAGTCCAAAAAAAAACCCAATGGACTTTACTGTTTGGAACGATTAAGTCCTTGGACAATTTTTTGGAATAAATAAATCCTTGGACATTCTAGAACCTGTTAAATAAGGCACTGGACATTACAAAACCTGTTAAATAACTCCTTAGACTTTCTAAAATCTGTTAAATACATTTTGTTAGTGGAAAAAGTCCGAAAAAACCAATGGACTTTCATATTTTGAACGATCAAGTTCTTAAACATTTTTTGAACAAAAAAAGTACGTACATTTATAAGAAAACAAATATACCATTCTCATTACTCTTCACAAAACATACAAAAGTTGTATCCAAAGCATAATAATCTGCATACAACTTTTGGCCATAATTTTACAAAAAGTTAAACCAAAATATTTACCAAAAGTTGAACCAAAATATGTAACAAAAGTTGCGCCAAATATACCAAAAGTTGCGCCAAAAAATATCAACAGTTGTGCCAAGTATACCAAAAGTTACGCCAAAATGTACCAAAAGTTGCGCTAAAATATACTAAAGTAATGCCTAATCTATGTTAAGGTCATGGTATGAACTATTCTTCATTTGCATCATTATTCTCTGATGGAGATATAACCATTTGACTTTCTTGTAACCCTTCTTGATGTCTAACAACATCGTCACTTTCATAATGTTCTTCATCACCAACAGTAGTATCACCTTCATCACGGTCTTCATCGTTAATAACAGCCTCTCTTGAAATTGAATATGGTAGGATACCTTCGGGCCATGCTGGTTGTGGCACGCCTGAGGATGTCTTTAATGATGACGATAAAGTGTAAGCAATAGTCATAAAAAATGTTATTTGAATCTGAAAAACAAATAGTGACTAATAATATCTTATGAGTTACTTTTAAATTCTATGGGTGATGAGTGGAGATTAACACTTTATGAGTTTAGTTGTTGAAAAGGGGGTGTATTAAAATCCAACTTTTGATTTTTTACTAAGGGGTCGTTTACTAAACCCTTGTCGGGTAAGTTCTTACCGGCAAAAATTAATACCCTTATTTGTCCTATCGGTTAACATTATCGATCATCAAAGAGAATTATTGTAAGTGTCTTTTACSCGGTAAGCACTTACGCTTAAAGATTTTGTAGAATCTCCTTTTGAAGATTTTGTTAGAAATGTTCCAACGTTAATCTTATTTTAGAAAGGCAAACAAAAAATAAAAAGAGGAAGAGGTATAAAATTAATACAACGATAATTATTATTTTTAATTAAAAACATGTGTGTTCTTGAGATATATATGTATCTATATAATTATATATCTCTTATGGTACATACACACAACAAAAACACACTGAGTGCACTGTGAATATGTTAAGAAAGTAGGTGTTGTAGCTAGGTGGGACTTTGGGTACAAATTTGGCTACTTCATTCTTGTTTTCTCCACGCCCCACCATGTTACTTACTTGAATATAAAACCCAATGGGCTAAATCTAAGTTTCATTTTTTTGAGGTCTTTGTCCATGTATAAAAATATCACTAAACTTGTATAAATCTCTTCTTCAACTAGGCATCTATGGATGCTTCTTGTGATTTCAACTGTATGTTAATGGCCAAGAAACCTTCTACATTCATGAGGTTTTAACAAATTCCTTTAACCCTTTTTTTTAAGAATTGTGTTCTTAATTTTGTTGCTTTCATTGTACTCACAACATTAACTGGTAGGATAAATCTTGCATTTATTATCCAATATATTGCTTCTTCTAAAATACCAAATTATTCACCTCTGGAATCATGGTCAATTAATGTTCAATTAATCCTTTGGTGAGAAAGATTGATCTCTAAACCCAAAATAATGTGCATGCATAGAACTATAGGGTAAAATATAATAAAATTTGGTTTAATTCCTGTTTTTTTTTACTTCTATCAATGTAACATCATCCCAATACATATTCATCAAAACTTGCATGCAAAACCAAGCAAAAAGACAACATAGCACTTAGATTCCACCCCAGAAAACACATAGAAGATAAAGAGGTTGGAATAGAGAATTGAAGGAACATGTGGATTCAGGTTGAGTTGGTTTGACGGAGGTAGATGATGAATAGATTCTTTAAAAGCAGAAACAAATCCATCTCCGTTGCCGTATCTGGTTCGAAGATCATCATAACCAGCATGATGATCACGAGAAGAATCACCATGGATGGAACCTAAAGCATTATTCAAGCTTCTATCTTGATGTTGTTCATGTTCATAATCATTACTCCAATGATTCTGATTTCTTTCTCCACCACCCACCATAGCTATGCAGTTGATTCTTATTGCCAGTTGCTTATCCAAACAAAAATCAGAATCTTAGTTGATGATCATGCTTATCTTGGCTTTTCAATTTTGCTATTTCTTTTTGTGTTTTCTATAATTCTTCTTCCTTTATATTTTCATTTTCTTTGAGAAAAAAGAAAGATTATTTCCTTCTCAACCCATCAAAATTTCAAGTTCTTTTTTCGTCTTTCAATTGCTTTTCCCCTTTTAGTTTCTCATAAATCTTTGTGTGTGTATATATATATACATATGTGTGTACATAAAAACATTTTTATATTTTCCATTCTTGAAATTTCGGTAGGAAGTTTCATTTTCTTCTACAAAGTCCAAAAACCAAAGTTGTTATCTTCATGTAGAAAAGCATCTTCTATATTAAATAGACGTATCAATGTAAAATGTAATCATATGATGAATAATGTTGGAGGAAACCTGATAAGATCAAACGCAGCAGGACCGGTGATAGGGACGGTGCAACAGCAGCAACCGATGATGGGATGGTGGTGCGGCAGCAACGAGCGGAGACAGGGGCGGCGACGGGGTGGTGTGGCAGCAACGGAGCTGATGCAGCAGCGATGGGGGAGAGGGAGATGGGGCTGGTGCGGCGGCAATGGGGGAGAGGGAGGCGGTGGTGTGTGGAGAGGAGAGGGAGAAGACGTGGGAGATGGGGAGTTCTTATGTTTTAGGGTTTTTTTAGTTTTTTTTAAATTTAAGGTTTACCTCCTATTCAGGATACAAGTTACATTTTCAAAGTATGAGGATCTATTTAACATGTTTTAAAAAGTCTAAGAAGTTATTTAATATATTCTAGAATGTCCAATGATTTATATGTTCCAAAAAATTATCCATGGACTTAATCGTTCCAAACAGTAAAGTCCATTGGGTTTTTTTGGACTTCTCCCTAAGAATAAATATCCTCTACCAAGAATCAATGATCTATTTGATCAACTGGTGGGAGCCAGTTACTTTTCGAAGATCAATTTGCAGTCAGGATACTATCAGTTAAAGGTCAGAGAGGAGGATGTTGCCAATATTGCTTTTCGAATATTTTGGATTCATTGAGAAAAATTATTTATTTTATCCTTTGAGCGATGACCCTTCCACTCGGCACCATCGGATCACCAAGGCCGACTCGATATGGACATCATGAGTTTTTGGTTATGCCTTTAGGCCTAACCGATGCTCCTGCAACTTTCATGGATCTAATGAATCGAGTATGTAGTGAATATCTTGATAAATTTGTTATTGTGTTTATCGATGATATTCTTATATACTCTAAATCTAAAGAGGAGCATGTTGAGCATCTTCATTTGATCCTTGAACTTTTGAAGAAAGAAAAGTTGTACGCTAAATTGTCCAAATGTGAGTTCTGGTTAAGAGAAGTTCAATTTCTAGTCAGACGTTATATCTAAAGCAGGAGTGAAGGTTGATCCTGCTAAGATTGAAGCTGTAGAAAAATGGGATACACCGAGAACTCCTTCGAAAGTCCATAGTTTCTTGGGGTTAGCAGGGTACTACCGGAAATT